TTTTTCATTCCAAACGGGAGAAACAAGGGAAGAAAAGAAATGAAGTAAAATTGGTGTTTGAAAAAAAGAGAAAGATCTTGTATTGTCGGTCATGTTGTGTACATGCTGGGGGAAGTGTGGCAACTAGGGCTGCAAAGCTTTGGACTCCTCAAGGCTGTCCAAGGCCCTCCACCCCCGCCCCAGGACATCTTCCTTAACTCCCCTGGAAGCTTCGTCTCCTCCGCCAGCTTTCAGCAACATGGGGGTGGGGAGCACTGAACTCAGTGACCCTAGAGGCCGTTAGCGCCCAGTGTAGAGCTGGGGGAAGGGCCGTTGTCCCCTGGCGGGAGGAGGCTCCTGTCAGGGCGTTCAGGCCTCTCTCCACCTCCCTGAAGCATCTTTGTTTCCTGCCCTGTGTGCAGTCCTCACCCTCCCGGATAGGGGGCGCATCGCAGCGGTGTGGGGAACAGAGCTAGGACACAGGATACATCCTGTCCCATCCACCCCTCCCCCCAAGCTCCGGGGCACAGAAGAGGTTCTCCTGTTTGAGCTACCTGGGAAGGTAAACACTGGACCGACTTAGAGGGCCACTTGTCCTGGAGTGGGGCCACTTAGGCTGTGTACATTCACCTCCCCTCGTAGGCCTCCGCGATTGTTCAGTTCCCTAGCCCTGTGCTTCGAAGGCTGCGCTCCCTTAGGGGCCGTACTCCGAACTTCCGGAAGGAAGCTGTGCTCTGGCCTCCAGGGCCAGGTCCTCTTTTTCCCCTCACCCAAGATAACTGTGGCTGCGCCCGCCCTAAGACAAGGAGATGCACACGGCTAGAGATTTGTACGGAGCCTGGAGCCCCAGCTCGGAGAACAGAGACCTGGCGCCAGCCCAGCAGGGCTCCCACGACTGCCTGGGTGCGAATTGTTCCCAATCCTAAAGGAGGCCAGGCTGGTTTTGTCCGGCTCTGGGGAGCTGGATTTGGAGCACCAACACACACCTGAACTTCCCCCCAAGTTCGCACCGTCAGGCCCCGTCACTGAGTGCGCACGAGCTACTCGGACCAAGGCCACAGGGCCCAAGCTGGGCCCAGAACCAAGTTCTCTCTTGGAGTCCAGCTCGAACCTGGAGGAGATCATAAAGAGAGAGGGGACCCGCGCACACCCACTTTATGCGGAAATGGTGCTCGTGATGCTGATAGGTTCCCAACCGGCGGGATGGGATATAATAGAGATAATAATAAAGGACTCTTGGGAGGGAAAGGGGGTGCAAGGCTAAGGCCTCTCCGCACCCAGAGGAAAAGGAGATCCCAGTTGCAAAAGGCGGGGCGGGCAGGGGGTGGTTTCCTAGGGAGGCCTCGGCCTGGAATCACCTGTTCCATTTGGTCGGAAGTGGTACCTTTGGCGCGTGAGCCCTTGCCTCCGGCGGCCACAAGCCCAGCCCACAAAATCGGGAAGACCCGGGAGCAAGCTCTAGGCACCGGACTTGCTCCAGCCGCCAGCTGGGCCTGCGCCGCCGTCCCCAGGCCCCTCCTGGGGGACTGGCATTTTATGATCTTCTTCTAACAAGCCCAGTTTCTCCCCTTCAATTACCGGCCTCCCAGCGGTCTCCCTGCGCCTTTTCAATTGCAAATGCTAACGCTTTGGAAGCGGACGCGGAAACCACAAGGGCAATGGAGGAATCGGGGACGTGGACTCTCTGAGTCCCCAGAGAGAGACCAGGCAGCGTAGGCTGAGCCAGGCCTCTCCAGGTCCCTCCCAGCCTGCCTGGCCTCCTCCCAGCTCCAGAGGAGAGGGGACCAGACATGGTGTTGGGGCTGGTAGAGGTCAAATGTCTAAGCTAGGGCAAAACTAGCCTTTCCTAGCGGGCTCAGGGCCCTCGGGCAGGCTCTCCCTGCGGGTGACCCATTCCCAGGGGCCTAGAACCAGGGGAAAAGGAGGAATTCTGGGTGCAGGTGGAGAGGAGGCGTCAGTCCCAAGGAAGGAAGGCCAGCTCTGCTTGGCAAAGCCAAGGCCATGGAGGAGCTATTGGGAGGCAGGAGCCAATGGCTCGGGAAGGTATCTGAGGGACAACCATACTCCCACCCATAAGGAACCAAAGATGGCTCTGGAGATGCGCAAAACGGGGTTCTTCCTCCTGCACCCAAACCGAAAAACACTCTGGTCTAACTGGGCTCTGGCCTCAGACCCCACCATGGGTTTCTACCAGGATCCCCAAAGAAGAACAACCCACCCCATCCCTGAGAACAGAGGACTGTGAGGTGAGACAAAAGGTTTTTTCAGCAACACTTGGGTTGAGAAGCCTTTTCTGGCTGGTTATGTATTTAGCAGCTGAGTAGCCATGGCCAAGGCAGGCCCACACCAGCCCCGGTGCCCAGACTTGAGCTTCCTGGATTCCTGGAAAACCAACATCCCTCCTACAACTGGACAGACTAAGGAGCTCCCACATGAGGAGGAGGGAGAGGCAAAAGGGGGTGCTGAGAAAGACAGTCTGGGAATAGTCAAAAAAAAAAAAAAAAGCACGAAAAATGTGTTTGAGGAACACGATTCAAACCAGCTTCTAATTCTTGCAGGGAAAAGGGGGGAGGGTAACAAGGAGAAAAGAAAAAGTAGGAGAAAGAGGAATCAGGGAGCGACAACATGAAGGGGTTTCCTTAATATTGTGGCCGGGTTCCGAAATGAATGAAGAGATAGTCCATTGAAAAGGGTTGAATGCCATGACAACTAGCAACAACCTTAGATTTATTCCAAACAGTTAGGACACATTGAAAGAGAGCGTCAATCATGTATTATTTCGCCACTGAAATAAATGCAAAAACCGAGCCGGGACAAAGGCTTCCAACGGGAGCGGGACATTTGTCTACATTTCCCTCATTGTCCGCAGCTTAGCAATCGGTTTGTATTTGTGTTTGCCCGGGTCCGACCACCCAGGACGTGCCGACGAGGGGCTCGCTCCACCCTGGGCCATTGTCACCCGCGTCACATACTGGAGGCTAGGCAGCTAGGACTGCAGAAAGCCGCCGATCGGCTCGGAGAGAGGCGCCCTCACCGGTCGCTGGCAACTCGGGTGGAGGGGGTGCCACAGAGGCCCCCACAGCTGGGCGCAAGAAGGACCCAGGCCTCTATCTGAAGCTCGGTCTGCATCAGACGGTCAGAGCTAGTGATGTGGAGGGAACAGAGAGCAGGACTCTCTCTGGTGACCTTCTCTGCCTTCCTAGCCCCTGGACCAAGTTCCTTTCTGGCGCTCCTTTGGGGCGAGCACGCATCAGGTAGCACACCTCCCTCTCCAATTTTAAATGGGACGGAGGAGCCCTCAGTGGCCCTTTCCTTCCCAAGTGGAGGAGGACTGTTCCAGGAAAGTTCAACTCCCCGCCTGGGGTGACAGTGCACTGTTGGCCCAAACCTAAAGCTTCCAGCCCATCCAGGAAGTCCCAAAGGAGGAGGAAATGGAAGAGCTTGCCAAGGAGAGGATAACTCGGGAGAAAGCACAGCACCACCAGTCCACACTCCAACCTGAACCCATGACTTTCTGGGTGCGGGTCTGGATCGTGGCCCAAACCCACCCCGCCCAATCCCCCGCCGCAATCTCTCCCTCCCCTTCCCGCCGCCCACCTTTCAAGACAGCCTGAAGGGGAAGGGTCGGTGAGGCAGGAATATAGAGACCTAGGCGCCTGCCCTCTGCTCAGCTTGTTAGAGAAAGCAGCCGGCCCAGTGCCCGGGGCAGCAGGGTCGAGTCCATACCCTGGCAAGTTGCATCTCTGTGGACCCAGCCACCCAGCAAAAAATGAACTGCATGTCCGTCTCAGCCACGAAGAAAGCGTGGGGGGATGTAGGAAGCGGGATAAAGGAAATAAAGAGGTCCTTGGCAAATAAAGCAAGGCTGGAAGGGGCTGGAGAGCTCGCGGTGGCCTTGGCCAGCCGGCTCGGAGCAGCGCTCTGCTAGGGTCTCCAGCTCTTTCGCGGTTAACTAGAATCAATTACTTGCCTTGTCATTTCTAGCACTCATCCTTAAGCCTCAACCAAAATATTGACCTAGGAGGCTTACAGAAGTTGGGTTCTTGCCATTTGAACCGGATCTTGTTTGGGGAACCACCAACGATGCGAAGGAGAGATTTCCACGGCTCAGCACCACCCCCCTTCCAAAGGCGCCACAAATTTTCGCCAATTTTCCGGCTGGGGGTGGGAACCGGTGAATGGTAAAGAGGAGTTGGGGTTTTTTTCCTCCCTCCTCCAGTCTCTGTTTTGTTTTCTGCTCCTACCCCCCACACACACCCCTTAAGATGCAATTTGTTAAAACGGCCCTTTCAAGTGCGTGGACTCTCGAGCGACGCGGTGGTCCTTTGTATGTAAATACTGGGTTAAAAAAAAAGGCTCGGCCGGTCTTTGCAATTAATTGACACGTTACACCTCTCATCTCGCTCTAGAGGGCCGCTGGCTGGGAGCGTGGAGCTCCCCAAAACCCACAATTTCACATCTGCAAACACTGTCTTCATCCACTTGACTCCCAAGACCCGCCCACACGTGGCCAACCTTCGCGTTTTTAATGTCTCTTCCCCCTTTTTCCACCCTTCCCTGGCTCCCTCTCTCGCTCCCCTCCTCCCTGTCCCCTTTCCCTCCCTCCTGCATCCCCCCTCCCTCCTCCCCAGGTTTGTGAGTGGAGCCCAGCCTTATATGGACTGATCGCTCGGGCAATGGCCCATTTTTTCCTCGCCACCAGCCGCCACCGCGCGCCGAGCGGCCGCCGGAGCCCGCGCTGACGCCGCCTTGGCACCGCTCCTGGAGTTGCGAACCGGCCGGGCGCGCGCCCAGCTACTGCTCCCACCGCCGCGGGCTTCCGCAGGAGAACAGGCTAGGGTTGGGTTTCATTCCTTCCCCTCCCTTTCCCCACCGTTTCTTTCTCTCTCCCACTTTCTAAAATAATAATTATCCCAATAATTAAGGCCCATCCCCCTCCCCTCCCCTGTCCCTCCCCCCACCCCTCCCCCGCCCGCCGGGGCTGGGGAGCACCACGAATTGACCAAGTGCAGCCACAACTTTGCGGCATAAATTGCGGGGTCCCGAACCATGTCGCTGACCAACACAAAGACGGGATTTTCAGTCAAGGACATCTTGGACCTTCCGGACACGAACGACGAAGAGGGCTCAGTGGCCGAGGGGCCGGAGGAGGAGAACGAAGGACCGGAGCCTGCCAAGAGGGCCGGGCCGCTGGGGCAGGGCGCCCTGGACGCGGTGCAGAGCCTGCCCCTGAAGAGCTCCTTCTACGACAGCAGCGACAACCCGTACACGCGCTGGCTGGCCAGCACCGAAGGCCTGCAGTACTCCCGTAAGTAGCGAATCCGTCCCTGCGGCGGCGAGCGCCCCGTTCCTACGGGGCAGGGCGCGAATGCCCAGGGGAAGGAAACCCGAAGCGCGCAAGTCCCCTGGGTCCCCAGAATGTTTGTAAGAGCACTATCTGGGATGTGCTCTGTCATCTCCTCCTCCGTCCCTACAAAAATCATAGTCTCAGATATTTTCCCCACAACGTGAGTAACTAAGGAGGAAGAGAAGGGAAACCAGGGCTGGCTGCAGATGTCACCCGTGTGTGACAGTTCCGGCCCGGCCCTGGAGCTCTCGCCCCGCAGGGACTGGCCTGAGACCTGGCGCTGGCCAGCGAGCCTGGTCCAGCCGCGGGAGAGGGTGGGGGAGGCTTGGGGTGGCCTGGGTATAAGTAGCTCACCCAGCCCCCTGCGCGATCATAGAGGATGCTTTGTGTGGTGCGGGGGTGTCGGGAAAGCCGGAGAGCAAAAGCGAAAGCCCCCAAAAATCTGCCTTAAATGGCCTAGCCGATCAATGCTGGGATTGTGGAGTTTTTCTTTTAAAAATCTGTCCACGTCTCTCCAGAGAGGAAACAACTTAAGGGGGCCGGAGCCCTTAACCCGCGAGGATCTCCCACGCGCCCCTCCCCATCCAAATCCACACCCACATCGTGCGAACCCCCAGAACCTCGAACCCGGGGTCCCCACTACTGCGAGTTCCCCGGGGGAGACCTGGGCGCCCAGAGCCTGAAGCGCGACTGGGCCTCTGCGCGCAGGGCCAGGGCGCGCTGAGGATCCGCGGTGCCGGGACGGCCCCGGCTGTGCGCTCACGACCTTCTGTCTCGCACAGTGCACGGGCTGGCGGCCGGCGCGCCCCCGCAGGACTCCAGCGCCAAATCCCCGGAGCCCTCGGCCGACGAGTCACCTGACAATGACAAGGAGACCCCGGGCGGCGGAGGAGACGCGGGCAAGAAGCGGAAGCGGCGCGTGCTGTTCTCCAAGGCGCAGACCTACGAGTTGGAGAGGCGCTTTCGGCAGCAGCGGTACCTGTCGGCGCCGGAGCGCGAGCACCTGGCCAGCCTCATCCGCCTCACGCCCACACAAGTCAAGATCTGGTTCCAGAACCACCGCTACAAGATGAAGCGAGCACGGGCCGAGAAAGGTATGGAGGTGACGCCCCTGCCCTCGCCGCGCCGGGTGGCCGTGCCTGTCTTGGTCAGGGACGGCAAACCGTGCCACGCGCTCAAAGCCCAGGACCTGGCAGCCGCCACCTTCCAGGCCGGCATCCCTTTTTCGGCCTACAGCGCGCAGTCGCTGCAGCACATGCAGTACAACGCCCAGTACAGCTCGGCCAGCACCCCTCAGTACCCGACCGCACATCCGCTGGTCCAGGCCCAGCAGTGGACTTGGTGAGCGCCGCCCCTGAACTGCGGCCCAGGCCAGGCTCACCCCGGCGGCAGTGGAGGCGAGGAGGACTGGTCCTTGGTGGTTATTATTATATTATTATGATTATTATTATCGGAGAATCGGTCGCTCCATGGAGGAGGCGCCGCCGCGAGGTTCCGCTCACCGACTCCGTCCCATGTCTCTCGCTGTCCTCTGAACCTTGGGAGGAGGGATGCGCTCTGAGCGGTGTTTACAGACGTGTTTGCGCAGCTTCGCTTCTTGCCTCGCGGGGGGAGCAAACCACCCCAGCGTTAACGGCGTCATCATTTGAAAACGAGAAAAAGACCAACCCCTCAGCCCGCTTTCGTGAATTTTGTAAAATATGTTTGTGTGAGTAGCGATATTGTCAGCCGTCTTCTAAAGCAAGTGGAGAACACTTTAAAAAATATAGAGAATTTCTTCTTTTTTAATGAGAAAATGCTAAATATTTATGGCCATGTAAACGTTCAGACTACTGGTGGCAGAGTTCACTTTTGGGTTGTAAATATCGGTGGTGAATGTTGCCAGAAGGACCTTCTGGAGGGGCCTGTCGCCCTCCGGGCCCAACTTTCTGCTATGTCGTTTGTTTTGGTTCGGTTATGTTTGGGTTACCCCGTTTTCTTCTTTTTTATTTTGTTTGGTGCAAACTTTTTTCAAACATGAAAGAGGAAAATCTGTGTAGGCCAGAAGCCCCCCACCCGCGCCCCATTTTCCGGGTCCTGAGACCGGAACTTGGAGCTCAGCCGTTCAACACGGCTCCCCAAGAGCGCCGGGCGCTGAAAGCTTTCGATTTTTTTAAATAAGAATTTTAATAAAAATCCTGTGTTTAAAAAAGCAAATCAAGAAGCGCAGCCCACCGGTTTCTCTGTGTAGCTCCGCGCCAGGCCCAGAGGCCTGCACCAAGAGCGGGGTGCAGCCGCACAAGCTTCCTCTTGGGTTGACGGAGACTGGAACCGGGGCGCAGGAGGGGACCCCCCTACCGGCCCGATCCCAAGGCCGGACCAGAACCGGAGCGGTCCCCAGCCCGGGCGGCCTCCCCTCCTGCAGCCGAGGTCTGTGCCTGACCTGCAGCGTCCAGGCCTCGAGTGCAGAAGTGACTTTGGGAAACGCTAAATCTAGGAGAGCAAGCCCCCCTCACTCGCCCAAATCTACGAGTGGCTCCTTCAGCCTGAGAAGCTGTTGAAGCCACTACACTCGATGACTTTCACTTTGTTGCGTTTAATTTCCCTCTCGCTAAGAAGAGGCCTTGGGTGTGCGGTGGAGACGGGGCGGCTTTCTCTCTGCTACTCACCCCCCTTTCAAAATGTGCGGATGCATGGAGGCCAGGGAGCCGCTGCTGCGCCTAGGCGCAGGAGTGGGGGTGGGTTCGGCTGTGGCCTTGTGGAGGGACACACCGGGTCCTGGCGGCAGGGGAAGGAGACCTAGCTGCGCCCTCCTCGAAGCTCTTTTACCCCGGGGAGGCAAGGGGTGCGCATCCTCGGTGATCCCAGCAAGCTCAGGCTTCACCCCAGCGCACCCATCCTTTCCGAGTCTGCTCCTGGCGCAGGGTGACGGGTGTTCCCCCAGGCTGGTCGTTGTGCGTTGGGATGGGGGATGCGTTCCAAAGTAGAGATTGCAGACGGAGTGGGGTGCGCAGGCCTCCGGACCGGACTGGGGGAGCGGGAAGTGGGCAAAGAACTCTGCTCTGCCTGCCCTGGAGGTTGGTTCCCTGCTTGTTACTTGTCTGATTACTTCTTGCCTTCCTTTTTCCTTTCTCCTTTCCTTCCTTCCTTCTTCTGTCCTCCCTTCTTTTCTCCTTTCCCCCTCCCTCCCTCCCCCACCCTTCCTTCCTTCCTTCCTTCCTTCCTTTCTTCCTTCCATCCTTCCTTCCCCTGCACAGCACTGGTTCCTTCCCGCCCCCAATCGCTGGAGAACAGCTCCTGGGCCGGGGCTGACCACTCTCAGTGGGGCGGGCAAGCTAGGGGAGGGGTGCACCTTTCACCTCTGTCTCAAAGCTTTCCGAAAATACCCGCGACTGGGAGCCCGGGGGCGCTCTTTAGTGCCCGAGATGGAAAAGTCAGCCTGTTTGGAAATAGTATCTGTTTTCTCCAGAGCCACAGCCTCTACCAAACCTAGGGAGGGGAAGCCAGGAGGCCGGGCAAAGGGAGCGTCCCAGCTGACTTTCCACTCCCTCCAGTTGATGATCAGATTTAATTCAATATCTAAAGCAAACATGATTATCCGTGTGACCAAATCTGGGCGTCAATAGCACTCAGCGCAACGCGGCGAGGGAGGTGATTACGCTTCATTCCCGCATTGCGCCAGGCCCCTGGGTAGCTGAGGGCAGGGGAGGCAATCTAATATCCCCCTAAAGGCCTTCCCATCTCCAGGTTCGTCCCCAGTAAGGCAGAGTTTTCCTAACTGCCGCGAGGTCTCCCTTTGTTCTCTGCACTAGCTTGGAAGTGTTATAGGGTTTTGTTTTTGCTGTTTGCAAAGGCCAGAGAATCCCTGCCCCCCCCCCATCATCAGGTGCACAGAAATCTGATGCTGGAGCTGGACTGGTAGCAATCACCCCACACTCCGCTGTGGCTTCCCCACACCCCTGTCCTATGGTAAGTGAGGTGGGGTTCAGAGTCATTTGGAGTGGTTGTCCCAGGGCCTGGGGGGAAGACTGGAAGACTCCAGCTGGTTCTGATAGTTCCGGACACCCTGGCCTTCCCAAGAACTAAGAATAATCACAGGGGCCCTCCAGGCCTTTGGAAGGCCGGGAGAGATGCAGAACACCCAAACTTTCTCAGTTTTCCTCATTCCAAGGTGGAGGGTGCTTTGGAACGGAGGCCAAGCCTGCAGGCCTGCAGCCTGGTGTATGCCTGCTAGGCCTGGGGCTGGGGGGTGGGGTGGGGGCAGGGCCCGCCTCTCTGTGCTCAGGGACCGGGAGTCAATAAAAGCCCAAGGAGCCCTGTGTGGCCCTAACCCCAGCGCCCTGGGAGTGCACCGGGCACCCGGTCCGCTTTGGCAGTCTATCTTCGCCCAATCTACAGCAGGCCGCACAAAACGGCACAATGGGGGAGCTGGGAGCCGGAGATGTTAGAGGCGTGCATATTAAAAAGGGACAGAGAAAGGTTGGCCGGGATAGAGAGGGGAAGAGAGAGAGGGGCTCGCTCGCCCCACCCCGCACCATTCAGCGCGCTTATCTCGGGCAGTGAATCCCGGAGTCAGGCAGAAGTCTCCTTGGGGTTTTGTTGGGCCTGTCACTGGGTCCCTTTGTCATCCACGGACTCCATGCTGGATTCCATATGGCCAGCTGGGCCGAGGGAGCGCGAGGAGGGACCCGCACAAAACCCAAATTGTGTCCGGCTTTCAAACCCTGTATTGTTGTCTGTGAAAGGAAGACGCATTAAAAATTCGTGCTATATCTATTGGGGAGGAGGGTGGAGGAGGGGAAAAAAGCCACCCCTGTCTTTGATGGCTTCAGAGGGCGCTTGCACAGCCTAGGCCCCAGGACACTCTGAACGCTGGTGATCTTGCCCTCTTTCCTTCTGCGTTCCTCTCCTCTCCTCCCATCCTCTATTCTCCCCTCCTTTCCCCTCTTCCCCTTCCCTACCCAGGATTGGTGCCAGTGCCCCCCGCTGGGCCCAAGTCTCTGCAGCATCCTGGGGTGTGGGAGCCCAGGGCTGAGGTCTTCCAACCCGAAGCCCTCTTCCAAGCCATCTGAGCTCCAGGGACCTCTCCAGGTGCCGAGAGGCTGGTTGATGCTGTGTCCCGTGTGCACTTCCAGCCTCCAGAATGGATGAAGATCCAGTTTCCTTGAAGGATGCTCCTCAATGCCCCACACAGAGCCTCCTTTCCCTTCCACGCTCGGAGAGACAGTTGAGAGGCAGAGGGCCAGCTCAGTGCAGCCCTGGCCTGACTGCAGCCACAACAGGGCCCAAGATCATGGGAACTGGCCCAGCCACCCATAACCAACACCAGGGAGCCAGGGGGCACCCTTGCTGTGCATGGTGCAGGATCCTACCAATACCTTAGTGCCCAAGGAAGCTGGTCCTGAAACTTCTTTCACGCTGGAGGAAGAAACTTCTAATTTACAGTGTCCCCTACCTGTTTAGTTTGCAAAATTCAGTAAAAGGGGTTCAAAGACCTTTCCCACTTGAGCCCCTCCAGCCCCTCATTGGTGGGAAGTCAAGATGACTTGTGCCTTATTTGTCCTCTGTGACAGTCAAGTCAAAATTCCCATAAGCCGCCCCCGAATAACACACGCCCAGCAAGAGTTCCAGCGACGCTGGGGGGATAAAAACAAAGCTAGATGTTTCCCTTGGACAAAGTCAGACCCCAGTGTGCACCACAGAGTGGGTGGAAATGCCATAAAGTCCAACACTTGGGAGCTCCCCCTCCTTTTCCCATTTAGCGACGCTGTCATAATTAGTGGAATCAAGTGACCCGGTGAGAGTGGGGAGCCACCTTCTCCACGCTCCCCACTCCAGCCGGGAAATGACTTATTTTCTTTACCTATTGACTGTTGGGCTTAGCGGAGACCTGGTGTGGATTTCTCGAGCCTTTTCAAGAGCCTGGTCATTGAAAAGCTAATCCAATATTTACCAAGAATAAGGACAGTTCTCAGACGTATTTATTAGGGCCACGGCTAAGTGATTTCTTGGACCGAAGACAAAAGGCTAGGCGAGGGCATCCAGCTCCAGTTCTGCCCGGGTGGGCGGAATCTCGGCACCCAGAACTCCAGCGAGGGGCTAAGATCGCCTCCAGGCTTAAGTGGCGAGTGGATTAGATATTGTGCTGGGTGGTATTTCAGGAAATATGTACTTGTGGCTCCTGAGAGGCCAGGCGCAGTGACACTTTAAACCGTGTCGATATATCATCCTTTATCCAGGATCTGCAAATAAACCCCTGATCCCCTCGGCGCATTATAGCCGCCGCTATCTCGCCGAGGAAGCGATCTGAGTTTTATTGCTTTCACCAACGCCCCAACACACACACACACACACACACACACACACACACACACGC